TCTTCCCCTATAAATAAAGGATATGACCCATTAGCTTAGTAAGGCTGCACAAACACACAAATTCTCTATATACTATGTGAGAGTGATAGCATAATTAGAAAAGTTTGCAACTAAGGAGATGTTGACATCATCAATGGTGGTACCTTCTTTCTCTTTTATATAGCTAGTTGAAATTGATTGTCTGAAGATGTGAACTTGTTTATTTTTATGTGAATGAATGTTATGATATCATCTCATGCCAACGTATGGATGCTTTAGTTTCGATACTTATGTGATGGTCATTGATGTTTATATAGTATCAATGCTTATTTATCATCGAAGCTTGCGATTCTATTGTATGCTACTATATGCATTGTGCTTAGTATTCTAGGTCTTCACCTCGGCCTTCACGACAAAAGTGCGATTGACGACACCAACCATGGTTTCGAAGACTATACCACTAAGTGACCCTCTAGGTTGGAAATTCTGACAAAAAGACTTCAAAGAAGCGCTAGTTGGTAGGCAACCCAACAATTTTGGTTTGTGTATCTTTCCTTTCTCTTTTAAATAACTTGTTAAAGTTAGGAATTTATTAGTTTAAATGATGAATGATGGAATTCTAGCCCTTGCCATGACTTAATTGCTTGAATCAATGTTGTAGATGATTATTGAATTCTTAGGTGTGTTTGATTTGATCATTGCCTGAACGGGGCAAGATTGTAGTCGCGAGATTAAAGATCGTGGCGGAGATCTTTATACCCCAAGACACGATCTTGCCACTCCCAATTTAAGAAGGAGTGCACTATTCAATTCGTGTGCTTTTTTTCTCAAGATCTTCCAAATATCCTACACCATGTTCTTAAAGCCCATTTGAACCTTTTGACCATACTTCATCTCAATTCATTTTCAATCTAATTATTTCTTAATTTCTTGGATTAGTATCATGTCTCCAAGCAAGCTAAGGAAGTATTCCCCATTTTTCTATCATTTAAGTACCTTAGCTAGGTCAAAATTTGTTTGATTGCAAAGTGAACTTTAATCTTTTTAGGGCCATTGCACGATTTAGTTATGCAATAGGATTACTATTTATGCTTTCAAGGTTGTGTTATGTTTATTGGAATACCTTGGTGGGCTATTTTGACTTAGTTTAGTTGTTCTTAAAGTTTGCACACCAAGTGTTCGAAAAAAGTCCCTAATCACATATCATTCAATTTCTTTGATCCTATGTCTTGAAATTGAACTTCTATGCTTATGAATCAACCTTGCATGCATGAGTTTAGTTTATTTATCTCAGTATATCATACTTTACTATCCATGCTCCCTTTCTCAATACAAGCTCTTACTTAAGTGCGGGGGTGCATAGATACTTGCAAGGGTGCTACTTCTAAGTTCAACTGTCAATATTAGTGGATTAATGGTGTTTTTGTACATTTGGTATAAACTTCTTTTATAGGGTACCCAAAAAACATAAAAGCAATGGTCCGAGGAGATAATTCTTAACTAATGGAGAACTCCAACTCCTCCAGCACCCACCATGGTTTAAAGAAGAAGGGTAGTAAACCTGCTAAAGAGAAGTGATCGTTGAGGCACCGAATCTACATCCACAACCACCTTTGGAGCAACCTGCTGGAGATCAACTTATAGTACAAGGTGAGTCTAGAGTTTCTATGGAGCATATCCTTCATTACTAACTAAAAGCTATTTTAGATCACTTCATCACCAAACTCCTATGGCTCCAAGATCTTCCCTTAGGCGAGATCACCTGTCTCAACTGGGTTCTCTTTGCTCAACTAGGGATTGAGTTAGTCATTGAGTCTAGAATCAACAAGCTGGAAAGGTTGAATTTGCTAAGAATTCAGGAGAACATCTATCGGGTGCTCGTTCTAGAATTCCTTAGAACACTCATTGTTCAAGATCTCTAAGGTGTAGCAGATTTAGAGAACAACATTGAATCAGACTAGGAGGAGAACATCGCCATATGTCAATTCATGTGCTTAAATGCTTGAACATCGTCAAATACATCCCTATTGTCTTCCTATTTGATTTTGATGTGATTTTAGGGTGTATTAGTCGATATGTGGGAATTAGGTACAAAACAAGGTCACAAGTGTAGAGAAGGGGCATGAATTGAAGATCATGGCCTAGAAGCTAAAGATCACGGCCGAGATCACAAGTCGTGAAGACCAGTTGAAGTTCGCGGCCCAGAAGCCATAGATCGCGACCGCGATCTTGGAGGCCCAGGTCGTGAACTTCGTGTGGAAGGAGTCTTGGAGGAGTAGAGAATCTCCCAAGTCGCATCACGACCAACGTTCATGTTTCTCGAGAGGAAGATCGTGGCCGCGACTCGTGGATCGCGAGTGCGAAGTCAGCCCGCAATCTTCCCCATTCCAAAGGCCTCGACGACTGCGTTTTGAGATCGTGACCTAGATACCAAAGATCCCGCCCGCTATCTCCCTTCCTCGGGCCTTGAACATTCCCGAGCCCAGAATGCCTATAAATACAAGACCCCTTTCCCCTTTTGAAGAGAGCTGATTTGGAGAGAAACTTTCTGGTTCTAGAGAGGGAAGAGAGAGAAGCTGAAGGAAGGAGAAGAGAAGGAGGAGCTAAGAACAAGGAGGCATCTTCTTCAACCCCAAGTCTTCTTCTATTTCTACCATGTATCTTCTTCCCTCCTTTATGGAGTAGTCCTCTAAGGTACTAGGGGTTCTAAACCCCAAACCCTAGTTTTGAGGTTTACTATGTATATTTGGATATTTTAGGGTTTTAATGAATGAATGTGTTTGTCTAGTTAATTTTAATGCCACTCTCTTCTAAATGATGACGCTTGGGTAATTTGCCCTAATCTTCCCTCTTAGCCTACTTTATTCTACCGCGTTGGGTACAGAGTTCTAGGGTTAGACGAGTATGCACCATATGCGAGTTAAGGCTAGATGGGTGAATGGGGGCCTATAGTGGTCGAGGTGATCGAAACCGTGCTATAGGTAGCCTTCCTAGATGAAACCTCGGTGTGGACGGTGGATAGTGTCCATTGAAATGAGCCATAAGCTTAATGCCCCAGATATGATAGTTTAGATCGAGGTGACTGGAACATGGATTCAGGGGAGGAGTAGTCGGAGGCGTGTGGATAACCATAAAAGCCCACGGAAAAGAGCGCACTTACCACATTCGATGACACTAAGTATCTAGATATGCATAGTGACCCTAAGCTAGGGGAGGGATAGTTCTCCGAAGTACCTCTTTTACCTTTGACCAACCTCTAGACTAGTGTTTCCTCATATCCTCCACTCATAAACCCAAAAACCAATTAACTAATTAGAAACTAGGTGGGAAGTAGCCTAGGGTACCGGGACCCGAGTAGAATACGACCTTGATTACCACTATACGACAATGCCGTTCTAGGCTAAACTTGACCGAGGATGGGATAGTTGTGATACGTGCTAACCTCTGACAATAACCTGCACGGATTCAAGTGATCATGACAACACTCAAATTAGTGTTATTTAGAACCCACATTTAGGCTTGTTTCGAGTCATATTGTGTTCTTCATTATAAACATATCACCAAATATACCATGTATTCGTTCCTTTGAGAATATGTTAGGGGTTGTTCGGAGGTTAGGATTTTAGATGAATGATTTATACCAACATTTCTGTTCCTGCTCCTCCCTCGACGGCAGGCGTCGAAATTCCACTAGAAGCAAATCCTAGAACTCCCCTGCATCTCTTTCCATGCTTGAAATTCCACAAGTATCGCTGCCTCCCCACCATCATGATGGAGTCAGCTTCAAAATTGTATCCCACAATCAAAATTCAACAGGAATCGAAGAAGAAGAGTCAACTTTTGTTGCAATTACTACCTCCCAAACCCAACACCATGCCCTCGCCTATCTATTTCTCTTAATAGCTCTTAGGGTTTTCTGAAGCTCCGGCTAGGGGGTTTTTGAATTAGGCGGTAGGTCCAACTCGTATAGAGAATTGAGGATTTATCCCCTTGACCCAATTCTTCTTCAATACTGCGTGGAATAGGGACCAGCGTACTTCCTCCTTTTGTTTGGAATTTTTAATTGAGAGTGGATGGTATCGGTGGGTTTTTTAGTTTAGTGGAGATGGTGGTAACTGGTAGTTGATTTCTTGGTCGTGAATTGAGTTGGGAGGGATATAAACAAAAGTAATTAATTTTGAGGTGGCAGTGATTTTCATTGGAGTTCATTTTTGAAATATGGGGAGCTTTAAAGTTATAGTGTTTATACAGTCTTGTTGCCGCAGTCTTAGCGGCAACAGGGTGGTAATGGCATCGGCGATGATGATTCTTTACTTCTTTTTTCTTCTTCTTCTTTCATTTGCAAGAGTGAAATGTTGAAGGATAAATATGTATTTTTCATCAAAAAGGTGTGTTACTTTTTAATTTATAAAATAGTAGAATCATAGGTACCAAACAATATATTTCTCAAATACATTAATTTGCACAATACATAAAATTACAAATTTACAATACACAAATTCATTGAATCCATCAATTTAGACAATCACAACCTCCAAACATGCCCTTAGTATATTAGGGTGTATTGGATGGTATGAATGCTTTTAGGTACAAAATTATGCACAAGTGTAGAGAAATGGTAGAAATCCAAAGATCATGGCCAGCGCATAAAAGATCAAGGTCAGGAACATAGGGCGTAAAGCTGAGGAATGAGATCGCAGTCTACTGAACAAAGATCACAACCACGAAGATGGAGGTCCCAAGCGCAAACATTTGGAGCAGCCAACAAGGAAGGAGCAGACAGTCTTGATAGTCGGCTCACGACCTTCATCATCCAAGCCAGCAAGAAAGAACGCACCCACGAGCTCACAGATCACGACCGTGAATCGACCTGTGAACTTCCCAACTTCAAAGAACAAAACAGCAAGATCAAGATTGCGGTCTTCCCTCCCAAGATCGCGGCCGCGAACTCTTCCCCCTTGATCATTAACTTGCCCAAATCCTGAGAATCTATAAATAGGGGGTTCCTCCCCCTACTTTGAGAGCTAAAATTGATTGAAGATTTCTGGTTTGAAGAGAGAGAAAGTTAGTGAGAAAAGCTAAAGGAACTAGAAGAAGAGAAAGAGGAGGAGAAGAAGAAGAAAGGGAGCATGACTATTGATCTGGGAGCAAAATACCATCGTCCCTTGTAGAATTACAACTCTGCTTCTGGTGATGCCTGCCGGTATTTTTACTACCGAACCTGGAGAGTTCTCAAGTGCAAAATACGACCATCCTGCCCCAAATTACTGTCGTATTTTCCATTGGTCTAGCTTGTATTTTTACCGCCGAACCATGCCCTTGAAGATTTCCGAGGAAGTACAAAATACAGGCAAGACAGGAAGGAATACGGTCGTAATTCACACATTACAGGCAATGTTTCACTAAATACGGCCATATTCTTCCTCTTATCAGCTTAAGCAAAATGTGCATTTTGGGCAAAATACAGGCAGAGGTGAATTGCGACTGTATTTCTGCCCGTTTATCGCCCAGAATCGGGTTAAAAGAGGCTGATTCGAGCCAAAGGAAGGGGATTCAACTTTTTAGAGCAAAAACTAGAGTTCTAGAGAGAGAAAGTGTGAAGAACAAACCCTAGGAGCTATTTGGAGTGGATTTCTCACCATTGAAGCCCAGATTGTGTCCTAAAAGTAAAGATTGACATCCCGGAGCATATTATTCCCATCTTTATGAGTATGATTGTTTTGATTTCTGTTTTCCTCTCTCTCTCTCTATCTCTCTTTGTAGTATACCTTTCTCTCACTTGGGTATGAAGAACCCTAGTTCCATGAGTTAGAGATCTTGATTGTAATAACTTTTGGGATGATATACTGATTGATTTTAATCGTTGAAATGTGTTTATTGAGTTAATTGAATCTTGATCAACTTCTCTTGATTTTTGCTTAAACCTGTGATAGATAGAATCTGAATAGGTTGTTAGAGTTTGTTCAATCGATAGGAGTGAATTGATTGTACGAGAGTCAGTCACTTCACTGATTTTTACTGGAATATGTTTCTAGTAGTGGAGTTATGTGTTCATTGCCTTAGCATTCTATCTAGGTGAAGACTAGTCGTCTGCCGCTTAGTCTGTCTGAGAGGGCTTGGTTAGCTTATGAGATTCCAAGCTGCCGTTGGATCTTTCGCAGCTTAATCAACAATGAATCAACCATAGGAAATTACAATTTGGACCTTACTAAGGAGCTAGGGAGACTCATTCCTGAGTGACTCTTATCTTGCTTCAAAAAACCGGACAATTTACTGTTTTCTTTCTGTTTTGGTTTCAATTCAACTTCACTCACTTAGTCCCGCTAGATAATAGAAGTTAACGGAGTAGGAAGTAGATCTAGACACCGGGTTGATAGATTAAACCTACCCACTATTCTGCATTTTCATATTGTGATTATACTTGGTCGTAGTTCGGTGTTGTGTTCTAACGTGTCAAGTTTTTGGCACCGTTGTCGAGGTATATCTAGCTTATTGGAGAAACGTGAACATCTGTTACTTTAGCATTTAATTTTTTTCATTTTCTTCTTCCCCATGTGTGCCTTCATGGGCTGTGCTTGTAGTATGTGTTCAGGTAGTGCATGACCCGTAGCTAGTCGAGAGAGCTATATTCGTTAGATCAAGAGCTCGAACGAACTTGTTGTAACTCCAAGCGAGCTTTGAAGGCGTGACTAGCTGCGGAGAAAGCTTGGGAGCATCCGCACACCACCGAGGAGGAAGAGATGGGGGAACCCAATAATGGCGGGGAGCATTTCCCCGATGAACATACCATGGGAAACTACTGGACCGCCAGGGCTGCAAACATGAGGTCACCCATCCAGCACCCTCAATTTCCTGCTAAAAACTTTGAGGTGAGCACCTCTGTCATCACCATGCTGCGCAACTCGGTGGTATTCCATGGGAAATCGGGCGAGTGCCCCAGAGCCCACCTACGACGATTTCACGAGCTGATTAATGGAATCAAGATTAACGGTGCCTCGCAGGATGCCATTCACTCTGGAGGGACAGGCCAATGCGTGGCTGGACAACATACCTCCGGGGTCCATCACGACCTTCAATGTCTTGGCCAACAAGTTCTTGACCCTCTATCATCCCCCATCCAAGACAGCTAACCTGCAGAAGGAGATTACACACTTTGCCCAGGAGGAGGATGAAACCTTTCGGGATGCTTGGAGAGGTATACCAGCCTTTTCCTGAATTTTCCCAACCATTGTTTTAATGACGCCTTTAAGGTGGGCACATTCTACCATGCCCTCTTCCCTGAAGATAAGCAGTTGATCGACTCGGTCTATGGCGGGAACATGCTGACAAAGACGCCACCCCAGTTGAACCAGCTCTTTGACGAAATGGCATAGCAGGGGTATGATTGGGGGTCTGTTATGAGGTTTAGGAGAGTACCAAGACGGGGGTGTTCATGGTGAGGACACTCATTCATCTGAATTGGTGCATGTTGTTTCTAAACTGGTCAGCTATTGATCGGAGTGGGATGATTGCTAGGACACGGTATCAACAGGCAATGCGTTACCTGTGGTATGAGAGCTCCCATCACACCATAGAAGACTATCAGGTTATGAGGGAATCTACTACTCCCCAGGAGCAGCTAGACTTCATAAGCAATACTAGGTGCTTCGACCCCCTACAGTAATACCTATAACGAAGGGTGGCGCCAACATCCCAACTTCTCTTGGAGTGGCAGCAATCCTCAGCCACCAGTCACCCAAGGACCACCAGGTTTCCAGAGACCGTCATATAAGCCCAGGTAGGGGAAATTACAGCAGCAACAATCTCTCTACTTGCCCAGACTGGGGCAAGCTCTTCAGCATCCGAGGCCATTTCAGCAGTCAAACGCAGCTCCTACAGCCCTAGTATAGCACGATCTGATGGCTGAACTGCGCGACTTGGTGGGTTCTCTTGCCAGTTCCAGTGCTTAAAAATTCAACAATATCGAGTAGTTCATGGATAAGGCCTCGAGTAAATTCCTGGCTCTTGAAGCTAGCTCGAGGAACACACAGGTTGCTTTGCAGAATATCCAGACCCAGCTAGGGAGTGTGGCTCAAGTAGTGGCACAAAGAGCTCTGGGATACCTTTCCCGGTTAGACAATCCCTAATCTGAAGGACCAGAATAGCCACTGCCATGTTGTCACTACAAGGAGCGCCAAGGTGACTGCAGAACCACTTGTCCAAGCCAGACAGGCGGGAGAGAGACCTGCTTCAACACTTCTAGCTGATGAAGAAGAATGGAGAAAGAGAGTGAGGTGCCTGCTCCTAAACCACAACTAGTGGGAAAGATTATGTCCCTCAACTTTCCTTCCCTACACAATTACACAAAGACCGACTGGAGACTAAGTTTGCCAAGTTCATGGCAATGCTGAAGCAGGTGAACATAAGCATGCCTTTTGTGGAGGCATTTTCGAAGATGCCCAAGTATACTAAATTTATAAAAGATCTCCTCACCAACAAGAAGTATAAGTTGAGTGAGTTTGCCACTAAGGAGCTCAACGAGGAGTGTTCGACCATCATGCAGAACAACCTTCTGTAGAAGCAGAAGAACCCAAGTAGTTTCAAGATCCCATGTTCTATCGGTAAAATGCATGTTGAGAGGTCCTTGGAAAACCTAGGTGCTAATATTAATGTTATACCCTATACTTTGTACAAGAAGCTAGGCCTAGGTGAACCAAGTAACACTAGGATGAGTATTCAATTAGCTGATCGATCTGTAGTTCATCCTAGGGGCATAGTGGCAGACCTCCTAGTTAAGGTTGACAAATTCTTTTATCCTGCAGATTTTGTTATCTTGGACATCAATGAGGATGAAAAAGTGCCCCTTATTCTAGGTAGACCTTTCCTGGCTATTGCCAAGGCTCTCATAGATGTGCATGATTAGGGCTGGTAATCGGTCGGTAACCGGTTTACCGGTTACCGGTATACCGGAAATCCTTTGGCGACTGCCGTTTACTGTAGCCGGATCCAATTCGGTAAACCGCTTACCGATTGTAACGGTATGGTATTTTTGCCGGTTTCCCGTGTTACCGACTGCCTTTCCGCGGCATGATTGTCCCCTGCTTCTCTATGGGGGTAAGGGTAATGTGACTACTGACAAAAACAATTACAAAAGTAAAAAGCTAAACTTCTCTCCTCCCATTTTACTCTCCAACGGTGGCCTGCTGCTTTCTAAATAGATTGCAACTGCTCCTCTCTTCCCTTAAACACAGACACACAAAAAAAATTCAATATAACATCATCAGCTCTAATCGTTCCAACTCGGCCAAATCACAAATCACACTTAATTGATTCTAACCTGAACTCCGACGAGGTGCTGGGCGGCTTGGTCGAGCGAGAAAGCTCCAACGGCGACGGGGACGAGGAGGGTTGGGTCGATGGAGATGGGGTCCAACGGCAATGGGGGCAGAGGGCGTTCGGTTGTTGGGTCGTGCCTCACGAGTTGAGCGTTCAGCGACGAGCCAGCGACGGAGAGGGTGAAGGTTGAAAGCTTGGGTTTGTTTGGCGGCGTTTGGATTCGTCGATTTTGACTTTCTTTCTTGCGGAGTGAGTCGTGAGGAAAGCAGAGGCAAGAGAAGGAAATAAATCCACTTTTAATATGTTTATTTACTCCTATTCCTAATTAGAAAAGGCTAGGGAGTAGTGAGGGTTGGGGATTTCTGGGGCGGCAGCACCTTTCAGATTCCGGTATCGGATAACCGGCCAGCCGTCGGTAAGGTGCAACCCCGATCCCGGTATTACCGTTGCCCATCTGACCCTTCCGCATACCGTTGTTCACGGTTAACGGTTTAACCTGTTACCGCCGGTTATCGGTACGGTATCCGGTTAAACCGTTAACCATATAACCAATTACCAACCCTATGCATGATGGGACCTTGATCTTGAAAGATGACGAGGAGCAGATAACATTTTCCATTGCTAAAAATATGAATACTATCTCTCATGTGCATGATTTATCTCACTAGGTACACGAGGCTATTGTGTATCCTTCTGTGTCTCCCGTTTTACAGGACTCTGCACCCTTCCTCCTACACCACTCGTCCTTCCTCAGTTACCAAAAGAGCGGATTAAGGAGGAGTGGCGGCCGAAGCTGTAGGTAACCAAGCCTGTTCAAAAGAAAATTGGACACCACTATGAGCTGGTCCCGACCCTTGAGCCACGGCCACCCTAACCATTCGAGTATTCACTCGCGTGTATCCTACCGATGGCTAGGTCGAGTTGACATGTGCTGGTGGTCACACCCGTCGTGTGCCTGGCCACCATCTGAAGTTTTACCTCAAGAGCAATGTGGATCCACTCTTGGAGGCACCTATTCCTACACCTCTCTGAGCATCCACCCTCTGCGTCCAGCTAAAGACGTAAAAGAAGCGCTTGTGGGGAGGCAACCCCACCATGGTTTGCTTTTCTTTTGTTTGTTTTTTGGTTTTTTCCACTTGGAACTATGGTTTCTTTCACCCAGTGTGTGTATTTGCATGAATCTAGATCTGTGCCCTTTGGACTGGTCCCCTTCCAGTCCCCTACTCTTGACTGGTTTGCCTTCCAGTCACTATTCCCGATCATCATTTCCCGGTAATATCGCTCCCCTTTCCTCTGCTCCGTTAAGGGCAATGTCGAACTTAAGTGTAGGGGTGCTTTGTATTTATTGGAACATATGTATGTGTGCTTGGATCCTAGTCCGCTGTCCAAATCTTGAGATTTGAGGGCTCCAAGTACTGATGTTTTCATGATCATATTGGCACTGTGGTTTATGTGGTGAATCAAATGGATGTTGATATTGATGCATGAAAACTTGATTGTGACTTGGACAACCTATAGTGATGACTGAGATGTCCAGTAGAGTTGTGTAGGGGTTCAGTTTTTCAACTGTTTTCTTACCAAATGTGACTTGGATTGATCAATTATTTTTTACATTCGTTTATGCAACTAGTTCAGGGAATCAGAATGAGAGATAGAGCATATAGGTAGTCATGTGGATTTGAGCCTGCTCGTTTCTTTCTTGTGCGATAGATCCCTCTTCCATGGTGTGTAGCATTCACGTTGTCACTAATTAGGATTATGCAGGCATAGGATTAGCCCACGACCAAATTGAATGTCCTAGTGTCATACCCCTAGTCAGCCCCTTTGAGCCGTGTAACTTTCTTTCTTTTGGTCTACAATGAAAAATCACCCTTTTGCATTTCTTAGAGGTTCCACAGAGTGGTTTTTGCATGTTTTATGTTTTTTTCTACTGGAAATAAGATGAGGGTTGGAGGTAGTTCTTAAAAAATGGGGCATGTGCTTGCAAGAATAAAAGATGTGTAAAAGTGGTGGTTCTCTAAATAAAAAAAAAAAGAGAAATGGAAACAAAAGAGAGCCACCATAAAAATCTAAATCATGCTCATTAAGTAGTGTTTCATAGCAGTCTGGATTAGAAATACTAAAATCATTGTGACCTATTTTACTCTTGTGCTCTAAAGAACTTGATTAATGCAGAATGACAGAAAGAAAGTAAATGGTTTGAATGATTGTAACTGTGTTGGTTTTGGAACTATGGAACCCTGTGTTATGAATTCTTCCACTACCTAAAAGGCCTTTCCCCATGTCCAAGACCCTAGCCAGTCATCTGAACCCGTGTCTAAGACCTCCTGACTAGTTAGTGGTGACACCTGATATGTGAACTTTAACCTTTAGAGGCTGCCATAATGGTGATGAGACGTTAGGATTGAGAGAATAAGCATGCGCATTTTTCGCATCAAATTGTCCTGACCCCAGTGGTCGAGAGTGAGCGATTCATTTCCTTATATTCTTTACATTTTTTATCTGGTGAGGACCTAGACTGCTCGGTCTTGATTCTGAGGTCTTGAATATTATTAATGAGGTGATTGTCTTGAGTAAGTAGTTGAGTCAAATCTATGTTGGTTGGTGAACAGAAGTGAGACTCTTCCTTTATTCGATTTTGCTGCACTCGAATGTCATCTGTGGTGGTTGTCTAGGTTGTCGTTGAGGTTGTTCATGTGTTGATGTCTAAAAGCCAGTATGATTCACATGTTTTGTGCCTATATGATATGTCCCCAAAGTTTGCATGATTAAAATGTTTTGAGCTTGCCTTTTATCTGACTTGGTTCACTTTAGCGTGGGGGAATTTGATAGCCTCGTATTTGCACCTGTTTGCACTTTGGTTTCCTGACCGTTTTAGCTTGAATTTGTGGTTCATTAGCCTATTTTATGTTAGGTTGTACTATTTTTTCACATTTCAGGTCCTAGCAGGTAAAGGGAGGCAATGGTTCAAGTTTCGGTCGTTTGGAGATCATTTGGCGATTCTGGGAGCAAAATATTGTTGTCCCCTGCAGAATTACGATTGTGCTTCTAGTGATGCCTGCCGATATTTTTACTGTCGAACCTGGAGAGTGCTCAAGTTCAAAATACGGCCATCATGCCCCAAATTACGGTCGTATTTGCCATTGGTCTAGCCCATATTTTTACCGCCGAGCCAAGCCCTTGAAGATTTCTGAGGAAGTACAAAATACGGGCAAGAGAAGAAGGAATACAGTCGTAATTCACACATTATGGGCAGTGTTTCACTAATTACGGTCGTATTCTTTCTCTCATCAACTTAAGTAAAACGTGCGTTTTGGGCAAAATACGGGCAGAATTGAATTACGACTGTATTCCTGCCCGTATTTCACCCAGAATCGGGTTAAAAGAGGCAGATTCGATGCAAAGGAAGGGGATTTGACTTTTTGGAGCAAAAATAGAGTTCTAGAGAGAGAAAGTGAGAAGAACAAACTCTAGGAGCTATTTGGAGTGGATTTATCACCATTGAAGCCCAGATTGCGTCCCCAGGAGTGAAGATTGACATCCAGAGCAGATTTTTCCCATCTTTATGAGTATGATTGTTTTGATTTCTATTTTCCTCTCTCTCTATGGAGTAGACTTTTCTTTCACTTGGGTATGAAGAACTCTAGTTCAATGTGTTAGGGATCTTGAAAAAAATAACTTTTGGGTTGATATATTGGTTGATTTTAATCGATTGAAGTGTGTTTATTTAGTCAATTGAATCTTGTTCAACTTCTCTTGATTTCTGCTTCAACCTGTGATAGATAGCATCTGAATAGGTTGTTAGAGTTTCTTCAATCGATAGGAGTGAATTGATTGTAAGAGAGTCAGTCAATTCACTGCTTTGTAATGGAATTTGTTTCCAGTAGTGGAGTTATGTGTTCGTGGCCTTAGCATTCTATCCCGGTGAAGTCTAGTCGTCTGCCGGTTAGTCTGTCTGAGAAGGCTTGGTCAACTTAAGATATTCCAAGCTGCGGTCGGATTCTGCAGTTTAATCAACAATGAATCAACCAAAGGAAATTACAATTTGGACCTAACTAAAGAGCTAGGGGGTCTCATTCCCGAGTGACTCTTCTCTTGCTTCAGAAAATCGGACAATTTACTGCTTTCTTTCTGTTTTGTTTTGAATTCAACTTCACTCCCTTAGTCTCACTAGATAATAGAAGTTCACGAAGTAGGCCGTAGATCTTGACCCCGGGTTGATAAATTAAACTTACCCATTATTCTGCATTTCAAAATCGATTATACCTGGTCGTAGTTTGGTGTTGTGTTCTAGCTTGTCAACTACCCCTAAAGGGGTTGGAAAAATGACAACCCCAAACCCTATATTTTGGTTTTGAATGTACAAGTAATTATGTTAGGGTTTTTGAATGGATATGTTTGGAGATGAGATAACATGACTACCCCTAAAGGGGTTGGAAAAATGACAACCCCTATTAATTATAGGCTTTTAAGGTAATAAAGTTATGTTGCACTAAATAATTAGTGCAATGGTATCAGTGTACAGGTGCAATGGTAGTTGTATCAGCGTATTGGTAGTTGAAAAAAGAATGTAATTAATGAGTTTTCAATTACCAAAAAATATTAAATGCAAGAGAAATTTACTACCCAAAATAACTATAATTAATAGGGGGTGTCATTTGTGCTTTATTATGTTTGGATAAGTCGTCCAAGTCTTCCATACTAGCCTACAACCAAATAAACATTAGGTGGGATTTTTAGGGCTAGACTGGGTAGCGTCAACTAGCAGACTAAGGATAGATAAATGATATTAGGATTTCTTAGTGGACATGGAGACCAAACCCCTGCTATAGGAATTCCTTCCTAAAACAACGCTAGAGAAGTTGCACACGTTCTGATCTAAGCCCGTCTCTAGTATGTACAATAGGTTGAACCTATTGAGAGGAACTATGGAAGCAACCCTAACACATAAACTTAGACTGAGGTAACATTGGGTCTTTGTGGGCCTTGTTAGGAGGAGGGAGAGTAGTTGTCGAAATCCCCATATTAGACAGTTTCGCATCCTATCCTACAAACCTGACAGAGTTAGTCATTTGCATGATGAATCTAGTTTAGGGCAAGGGTGGAACCCCGAAGTACCTTGCATTTATCTTAGCTTTTTCCATCAGTATCTTCCAATCAACATTCAATCTAAAACCTAAACCGGTTAACTAGATAACAACAAAGTGAGAAGTAACTTAGGGTATCAAAACCCGTCGAATACGACCTTGGTAACCATTGTACTAGCAATGTCATTCTGAGTTATACTTGACTCAAAATGGGATAGTTAGAAAATTTGTATAACCGATTGACAACACCCATACGGGGTTGTAGAAAACCCATCACCAAGCTAACAGAGGTTGGGAGAGAGGGAGGTGTGGTAGGAAGATAGAGAGGCAGATGAGGGAGCTGGAGAGTATAGGGTTAGGTTGAGTGAGAAGGGAAATATGTACATCGCATATGGAAAGGGTAGCAAATCCAAGTGATTAGGGTTTTAGTTTGCAAAACTACGTCCAGTTCAATATTGATCGTTAATTTTAAATTAGGAGAAAAGAGAAAGAATCAAACGGTTGGTAAATGATGGTTAATGATAATCGGCATTAATATATCGGATTCTTAAACTTTATGTGACTATCCTATGATCTGTTTAAGCCGATTGGTGTTATTTTAGGGCTCGTTGATCCAGAAGTGGTTGAAAAACCATTACTGCCTAGTGCCATGAGTTTGATATGTTACAGGTGGACAAAACACGAAAAAGAAGAAATTGCACAAGCAATCAAACGGGCTCGAATCACTGGTGGAATATTCACTTGGGCTAGGAGGAACAGTGGACCGGAAGTGACTCGACTGGGCTGGGACATTATGGCCCGGAGTCCCTTGACATGGAGGCAAATTGGAAACGAGACCAAGAGGGGGATTATTTTCTCGGCCGGGCCTATTACTGGGGGAGCTGGCGGCCTTGAAGAGGACATTAACTGGAGGGAATTTCTCTGGGGGAAAAGAACGAGAAGGGTTAGAGAGGGAAGCTTTTGGAGGGGCATTCTTTTGATTTTCTTGGACCAAGTCCATTGTCTTTTAGTGATAGGGAATTCCGGCCCAAGCATCTTGTTCGGGCGGCAGGGAATAAGTTGGACCAGGAATTAATTGGATTGGGGGAGAGCTGGGGACGGAAGAAAAAGGAGAGAGAGCAGCTGGGTAATAGAGGCCGATTGGAGCACAGTGCCGCGCGACAACAGGTGATTGGCTTTTGGTGATTGGCAAGAGCAGCATCGACAATCGACTTCTTCAGGGCAGTGTGAGCTGATTTCATCAAGAACAAGTGATTTGGTTGGATTTTCTAGTACGAATTATTTGTTTATTGTTGATTTGGAACATGGTGATCAAAACCATATTGTTTTATCTTAGTTTCATCATGAACTAAACCCCAATTTATGGGGGAAACACCATAGGATGTAGCTATTTTCTATACTTGATGGATTGATTCATAATTCTTTTCTTCCAATCTCTATTGCATGAAATTGCTTAATGCTTTGTGTTGACTGGCCACCAATACAATGATTTGTAGTTAATTAGGTTATTAGCGACAGTGAAACCTTAATAACTGAACATATTTCATGTGACATAGTAACTTATCGAAGCGACAGTGGATTAAATAAGGTGCTATGCGGTCTTAAATAGGATATCAATCTTCAGGCTAAATAATTAAGTCATTAAGCTACAACAGTAGGATTTGATTTAATTGTTTAGTACGTAGTAATTCCCGACAGGGATAGCTAGCACATTCGTGATATCCTGGCTATAGAGAGTTGGATTAAACTGATTAGAATATGTGAATTAATCTGGATAGGATAGGTAGTGAGTCCCGGTGTTTCTCCCATAGCTTTCTCCATTGAATTTCTCCCGACCATTTTAATTTGCTTGTTTTGTTTAATTATTTTGCTATTAGATAATAATTTCATCAACCAAACCAGTTTCACCTATAGTTTGCTCCACAAAATTGATAAATCATAAGGTTGTGCCAGACCCTGAGAGACGATACTCGGACTTCCGGTTACTACGAGATAGGAAATTGAAGCATTGCGCTTTTGCTCTATCAAGTTTTTGGCGCCGTTGCCAGGAACTGCCATAACTTGTTTTTATTGATTATTGTGAGTGAACTATTTTGATCTAGGTGTTAGTGTGCAGGTGAATTTTTCTGGTCTATCCTCCTCGTGCATGCCTAGGAGGACGACTGGCAATTTACTGCCACTAGATCCGGAGATTGAGAAGACCTGTCGTCAGAACAAGAAGCAGGTCAAGTTAGGGAAGCAGCCAACCACAACTACTGGGCCTTCCCTAACCCAAGGAGGGCAGGCTTCATCACCTGTCGTCCCTACACCACCGACACCACCACCACCACCTCGTGACATTGAGCCTGTCATCATGGCAGACGAGGCATGGGAGCGCTATAAGGGGCTATTGATGAGATGCCGAAGCCACGGTCTTGAAGATTGGAACGTGATCATCATTTTCTTCAATGGAATCAGAAGGGAGTTTCGGGATGCCCTTAATAATGCTTCACGAAATGGTTTCACAAGCATGGAGGCACCAGCAGCATATGATCTAGTAGAGAAGATTTGTTAAGAAGCCAATGAATGGGGTAGTGAGACCAGTATTCGAAGAATAGGAGGCTTTCATGAAGTTGATAGAGTTACAAGTCTCGAATCCAAGTTGGATGCTAAACTGGATTCCAAGTTTGATGCACTCGAACAAAGGTTGGCCAAGATTTCTCTTGGTAGACAAGAGGAGGTTGCTTTATGTGAACTTTGCGAGGGTGCTCATCATAGGGATATGTGTCCACTGGGAGCTGCTCAGTTGGAAGATATCCAATATATCCATAATCCGCGAAGTCAAGGCTAGGGTGGTATGTATTCAAACACATGAAACCCTCAATGGAGACATCACCCCAACATGTCATGGTCGAATAATAATCCAACTGGTGTCCGAAACATCCCACCTCCCGGTTTCCAGCAACAACAACCTCAACCAGAGAAAAAGCCCCAGCCGGAGGAGTTGATTTTGGCTCATATGCAGAAAACATACAATAATTTCAAGGGTCTTGATCAATTTATCACTCAATAGCTAGCCATCAACAATAATATGCAATCATCTATGCTAGCTATGGAGAGGCAAATAGGCCAGATGGCTCAAACTTTGGCAGATATTCAAGGTAGGATTCCTGGGACTTTACCCGCAAATACTGAGAGGAATCCGAAGAACGCCATGGTTGTATCTGTCACATTGAGGAGTAGGAGTGGGAAGGAGTTGGAGGATCCAAAGAGCAAGAAAAATCCAGTAGAAAAGGAGGGCAAAGCAGTTGTAGAGGAAGAAAGTGCAAAAGCTGAAAAATCTGACTTGCATAGGCAAACTGCATGCAATCTGCCTGTGCACCTCCAAAAGTACAAAAATTCAAGAATGCAGAGGTAAAGCCTTATGAACCTCCCGCACCCTTCCCTCAGAGGTTAATGAAGCCCTTGGAAGACCCAAACTTCAAGAAATTTGTGAATCTCTTCAAGCAACTTCATATCAACATACCGTTGGCGGAGGCACTTGAACAGATGCCTACATATGCTAAATTCTTAAGGGAGTTGCTGACAAAGAAGCGTAAATGGGCTGATGTAGAGAAGGTAACCCTTACTTCTGAATGTAGTGTTGTGATTCAGAATAAATTACCAGAAAAGAGGGATGATCCGGGCAGTTTCACCATTCCATGTGTCATTGGAGGTATAGAGTTCGATAAATCACTCAGTGATCTAGGAGCAGGCATTAATTTGATGCCATACTCAGTCTACAAGAAATTGGGATTGGAGATGTTCTTAAGCCTACTCGGATCACTCTCCAATTGGCTGATCGATCAGTAAAAATCCCAAAAGGAGTGGTGGAGAATTTATTGGTGAAGGTGCGAAAGTTCATTCTCCCAATAGATTTTTTGATTCTGGAGATGGAAGAGGATCGAGGAGTGCCTCTCATTCTTGGTAGACCTTTTCTTGCCACTGGCGATGCACTCATCAATGTCGGGAGCGGCAAGTTGACATTCCGGTCGGTAATGAGGAGGAAATTTTTAATGTCTTTCAAATTGATCATAATCACGATGCATTTGATGACTTTGAAAGTGGAGCTCGAGAAAGGAAAAATTCCTCTTCATGTGATAGTGGACCATCCGAAGAACTATCACCTATCCTATCTGCTCAAATTCTGAAATCAAAGCGAGGGCAGAAATCCTTGCCAGGTCACCTCAAGTATAGATATTTGGGTAAGGATTTCAATCTTCCTGTTATTATTCCTTCTTCCCTGACATTGAAACAGGAAGAGTACTTGCTTGAGGCACTGCAATTACACCTACGCCTCACTAAGGGGTCCAACATGCAAGCTAAGAAGGTCATACCCAATTTTCGCACACCTGGCCCTGCAGAGGTGACTCATATGTTGGATGGAGGCTATGCATTCTATCATTGCTCGGGAGGGTATTCTGGATACCTTTCCATACCCATTGGTTGAAATTTCGATGAACGCCGGGCTGAGGACGTTAAACAAGCGCTTCTTGGGAGGCAACCCAAGGTAAGTTTTCTTTTTTGTTGTGTCAAACCAGTGCATGTTTAGATTAGGAGTTGAACATTAGGGACAATGTTCCATCCTGAGTGTGGGGTGGTGAGTCTTAGTGTTGTTTGTCCCTGTTGCATGTGGTAAAAACAAAAAAATAAACAAAAAAATAAAAATCTGTCATTTGGGTTGTGCACAGCCAAATTGCATGCAGTCTATTTGTGCTGGTGCAGTCTGCCTGTGCTAACCTAATGGCTAAAAAACACCTAAAAATCAGAAAAATTAAAAACAAAACCTTGTACTCTTGTGGTAACATGATGTAAATGACTGTGATGCGTGTGAAATGAGTTTGTGCTTGAAGTAAATCATCAAAATCATCCCACTAGTGTTGAATTGCAAAGTTCTTCACAATGAGCTTGATAGTTTGACTGACTTGATATGCTTTGAATGAGCAAACTCTTTTAGCAAAACTCTCTTTTGTGAGGATAGTGTAATAACTTATGGTAAAGTGGTTAGGTGGAGAACATTGACCATTCGACATGTTTGGATATCGTGCTTACTTGCATCATTTGTGAGCTTTTGATTTTGCAATGAGTCTCTCTGTTTTGAATGTTTTAGATGGGGTGAACTGTATCTTTATAAAAGAAAACACTACCTGACAAGTACAATATAAGAACGTTGCCATAACAATTAAAGTGTGGTAAAATGCCAAAATCGTGTGAGGCAATCACTCATTGCACAGGGGGGTTAGGAAAGGTTCAACTGAGTATCGGTTCGCGACCCTACGATGTTGCTTATCAAGTAAGATCCCCCGTTGAGTGAAGTGTCGTTTGAGGATGTGCAGTGACCCTCCACACGGACCGAGGAAAAGGAGTTGAAAGAAGCCCTTATGCAAGTGCTAAGAAGCATAAATTGCTCTTGCTCGGTCAACGGTAGTAAGAAAAAAATCCCACTTGTACTAAATACGACCACTCGGCAAGCAAAATCAGAAAGAGAGAAAGACTCTCCTTGTCAGAAAAGGTAGTGATGTGCTTAAAGTTAAAATCATGTTTGCGAAAGGCTTCCCCCATTACTTTTTGAGACTCTTGTGCTTAGTTGGTTGCTTATGTTTTATGTGAGTAAGCCAGATTGTCCTCACGAGATATGCACCTCACTGATGTGGTTAGATTCTCCTAATAAATGTTACACCATAAGTTTGTTAACCACCCACTACCGACGACCTAAATTGAGTGTTTGCTAATTGAGTTTTTGATGAATTTGAGTCAGTCAATAGTTAAAGGTTTGCAAGACCTTGAGTGTGGGGTGAAAGGTATGATCATTAAAGCACAACTCGTCCTTTAAGAAAGAAACTACCGATTACAACAAGAGTACAATGAAATTTTGTGTTTTGTTTTGAGTGTTGAGTCTGTGGTGTGTCATTGTTTTGGATGGTTATGTGTTTGTGTCTTTTGAGTCGTTGCTTAGGGACAAGCAACAATTGAGTGTGGGGTTATGATAATCGGCTTTGATATATCGGATTCTTGAACTTTATGTGACTCTCCTATGATCTGTTTAAGCCGATTGGTGCTATTTTAGGGCTCGCTAATCCGGAAATGGTTGAAAACCCATTACTGCCTAGTGCCATGAGTTTGATATGTTACAGGTGGAGAAAGCACGAAAAAGAAGAAATTGCACAAGCAATAAATCGGGCTCGAATCACTGGTGGAATATTCACTTGGGCTAGGAGGAGCAGTGGGCCGGAAGTGACTCGACTGGCCTGAGAAATTATGGCCCGGAGTCCCTTGACATGGAGGCGAATTGGAAACGAGACCAAGAGGGGGATTATTTTTTGGGTCGGGCCTATTACTGGGGGAGCTGGCGGCCTTGAAGAGGAAATTAACTGGAGGGAATTTCTCTGGGGGAAAAGAACGAGAAAGGTTAGAGAGGGAAGCTTTTGGAGGGGCATTCTTTTGATTTTCTTGGACCAAGTCCACTGAATTTTAGTGATAGGGAATTCCGGCCCAGCATCTTGTTCGGGGGGCAGGGAATAAGTTGGACCGGGAAGGAATTGGATTGGGGGAGAACGGACGAAAGAAAAAGGAGAGAGAGCAGCTGGGGAATAGAGGTTGATTGGAGCACAGCTAGTGATTGGCTTTCTCCGCGCGACAACAGGTGATTGGCTTTTGGCGATTGGCGAGAGCAGCATTGACGATCGACTTCTTCAGGGCAGTGTGAGCTGATTTCATCAAGAACAAGTGATTTGGTTGGATTTTCTAGTACGAATTATTTGTTTATTGTTGATTTGGAACATGGTGATCAAAATCATATTGTTTTATCTTAGTTTCATCATAGGATGGGGAAAACACCATAGGATGTAGCTATTTTCTATACTTGATGGATTGATTCATAATTCTTTTCTTCCAATCTCTATTGCATGAAATTGCTTAATGCTTTGTGTTGACTAGCCACCAATACAATGATTTGTAGTTAATTAGGTTATTAGCGACAGTGAAACCCTAATAACTAAACATATTTCATGTGACATAGTAACTTATCGAAGCGACAGTGGATTAAATAAGGTGCTATATGGTCTTAAATAGGATATTGATCTTCAGGCTAAATAATTAAGTCATTGAGCTACGACAGTAGGATTTGATTTAATTGTTTAGTACGTAGTAATTCCTGACAGGGATACCTAGCAACTTCGTGATATCCTGCTGTAGAGAGTTGGATTAAACTGATTAGAATATGTGAATTAAGCTGGATAGATAATAATTTCATTAAACTAATATCCAGAGCTTTCTTCATTGAATTTCTCCCGACCATTTTAATTTGCTTGTTTTGTTTAATTATTTGGCTATTAGATAATAATTTCATCAACCAAACCAGTTTCACCTATAGTTTGCTCCACAAAATTGATAAATCATAAGGTTGTACCAATCCCTGAGAGACGATACCCGGACTTCCGTTTTACAACGAGATAGGAAATTGAAGCATTGCGCTTTTGCCCTATCAGTTAATTTGCACGAATAAGGGTTGGCTAGTGGTAATACCACTAGCCTAGAACCTGAAGGTGCTAGGTTCAAATCCCTTAAGTAGTACCTTAATGACAAAAAAAGGAACCTATATCACCCTTATATATAAAAAAAAGGGTTATAGGTATAATATGCCCATATACTATGACATTTTATCAAACATGCCCCTCTACTATTTTTTACATCAAATATACCCTTGTACATTGGAAAATTATCGAACATGCACTTCTATTAAAATTTCCATCGAAAAAATTGTCAATCATGGTTGAACCGAGATTTAGACGACTCGACATCGGCAAATGGGAGGGAAACTGTCAGTTTTGTCCCCTGTTTTATTTCTCTGAGTCTTTTCAAAGTGAAATTATTAGAATTATTTGACTATACAAAAGACTAAAAAAATTCTAAAGTGAAATTATTAGAGATATTTTAGACATTTGTGTTCCCAAACCGAAGTTCGCCTGTGGTTAACCATTTTTGGATGAAAATTTTAACAAAAGGGCATGTTTGATCATTTTTCCAAAGTACACGGGTATATTTGATGTAAAAAATAGTAGAAGGACATGTTCGATAAAACGACATAGTAAAGGGGCATATTATACCTATAAAAAAAATAATGGTTAATTTGCTAACTCCAAAAAGCATTTCCGTTGTAGCTTGTTACTTATAGAGTACATTATTTAAACTTATCGTAAGCATCATTAATTGTTTCTCCTATTTCACCTACACCCACGGCTGATAAACAGTTATGGTGTTAGTGGTGTAACTGATAACCGAACCTAAATCAGTGCTTAACGATTACACCCTGTGATGGTAATGGGATGGAGTGAGGTGGGTATCTCAATATCCATACCCTGCCCCAGGCTACTGCCGGTAAAACCCACGCGACTACAGGGCAAGGCGAGTCTACCCACTCTTATATGTTATTTGTTTTATATGATAAAACAAAGGGAAAACACTTTACGAATGATAAATACTTATAATAGAATGAGTAATTGAGTTTAACAAGTTGAAAGATGGACTCTAACTAGTTGAAGAAAAGTCAACATAGAAGAAATATTCATAGAAACTATAAGAAATTAAGATAAAATTGGCCAAGAATGGGGCGGGACGGGTAATACCCCCAATCACTCGGGTAATACCTGCGGGGCGTGTTCAAATTTCTATCACTAGTTACATGATAACCTATTAAACAGTAAACGCTCGACTCCAGTAGCTAAATTTTGCTAATAACTAACTGACGGTTAACAGTTAACCGACTAATCAATTAGGACCATCCTCTTCGTCAGGTCAACCACAAACATAGGCAAAAAAATAATGAGATTTTTTAAGGCTTACAAGACCCCTTGTCTACCCTAGTTATAATAGTGACTTAGCCTCAAATGAGAATAATTTAAAGGAAGAGCTTTAGAAAGATAGTAGAAAGTCGGACTTGCGCACCATTGCTCGACAATGATTAGTAAGATTAAGCTTCCATATAATTATGTGGTATTTATGAGTTTAGTAATTATTGTTGGGTCTCTTATTAATGTTTTCTTCTTTAATAAAGTTTGACGGTAGAATGGTATTATTATGTACTTGTGTTGAATTGAGTTGATTATGTATTGATATCTTTGTTAAATTATTTTTTATTCAATGATAAAAATTTAAGAAAAAAAATATGCGTATGTATGAAAAAATATAGAAAATTTCACAATTGAAGAAAAGAGGTCTTTAGTTGGTTAGATTATATATTGGTTATTTTGATATAACCTTATCGAATCACTTGCGTAACGGTTATCCAGTTAACCGACTAAATAACAGGAAACAGGCTAACGATTAACCGAAAAACGACTAAACAGTTCCAGTTATAACCGAACCGATTGTCAGCTTGGCTACACCATCATTCAATTGTAAATCAAGCCAATAAGAATGCTTGTTATATCTCATTCAACAATATCCTCAAATTCTAGAAACTCGCCCCTATATTTTTTCCCTAAATAATTCACAACAGAAATTGAAAATAAAATATATTTATCGTATATCTACACATAATATAATAGAAGAATGAGGAAAACTGTTGCTCGATATCGAATCTTAAATTAGTATTAGTTTTCAAAACTACTATGAAGCAATCATATTTTTGTGCAAACTATATGGGACTGGTTCTTTTAAAGTTTTAGTCAGGTTAACCGTTACTTTTTAAACCTCTTCCTAATCTGGCATGATTGGAACCAACGATCATTATACGTGATTGAATTTAATTTGGTGTCTCATCTCACCACTTTTTGGCGTGTTAATGAATTTGTAGGGAAATGACATGTTTGCTTCTACACTCATCACAATCTACACATAATATAAAGGTGAAATGAGAAATGAGGGTTCACATTTCAAATTTGCTAAATCCAGAACAATTATTTGAGCGATAAATTTAAAAGGCACCAGTGCGGCTGGTCTGTAGAGCACGAAAGTAAAACTTGTTTCGATTTAAACGGGCCCAAACTATGATTTGGCAGACTAATCTGCACTCATTGCAGCCTCGCCAAAGCTACTCATCGGGTCATCTCCTCCCCGAGGAACCTACTCTCGTCATGTACCCAAAGTTCTCACTGAACCCTAATATCTACAATCTAGGCCAGAGATTCTAACTGGAATGCGTAGGGGCTGCAACCGACAGATTGCAGCTACCCAGACTGTTCTGATAGCTCGTTTGTTCAGATGTATGGTGATTGACTAAATTAACACACTCCACTCCATTGGCAGCCTCCTCCCCTCACTTGTATTGTGTTCACAAAGATCTTAAGACAACAAGTGCAACAGGTCCAGGGGTAATCAATATGTATAAAGCGGTGACCAAATTGAATTGAGTCATTTTATTTGGAATATGAAGATTTTTGCTTAATTGCTTTGGTTCGTGATGCGGCTATGTTTGAAGGTAGACCAACACAAACAGCAATACAGCACCATAGAGCTATTATGCACAAGAGGTAGTTAGGGCATTAATTGATAATAATTTGGAATTATTCAACAAGTACATAATTTGAAATGTGTCTTTATATTGCATTGATTAATAGTGGTTTGAGGTTTTTTAAATGAGTGATTTGACTTGTTAAACTATTCAATTTTTGAAAATGGAACATTCAAAGTAGAATATGAAGATTTTGGATCAAACTTAGTTTCTTAACGATGGTAACGGTTTACGTT